TAAGATTCCGCGCTTTTTTTCTTGCTGCTAGTACATCTCCACTTCTCTCTAAATCGTCGCGAATTTTTATGACGATCGTCATAAAAATCGTCTAGTGGAGATCCGCCTTTATGTCCATTAGTCGCAAACAATTTGGTATTTTAATACGTTTGATATTTTTTTTACGTTATCGTGCTGATAGACAAACAGACACACATACAACTTTGGATGAAAGCACAAGAAATGCCTGCATTTCATAACAGTAGCATTTATTGTCCAGACAAAAAGCAGTCAATTTGTGAGATAAACTTAACGTGTCGTTATAAAATTATAAATCGTTTCATCATCATGAAAAAGCACTTGCATGGCAAAAGGCGCGTGCATACATGTTGGTCCTTCCGGCAATGCCTGCTGTTAAATTAGCTTTATTTATACCGAACAGCTCGACCTGCTTTTTTAAATCGTCCCGCATAGAAGTCTAGCAAGAGGCCCATCCTTCGTTGGGCGTTCTAAATAGACCAACTTAAATTGGTATGCGAAAAGTCCATTGCAACGTTTATTTGCACTTTCGACAAATGTAATATTTTGGTTTCATTGTCAGAATGCATTTTTGCGTACGAATTATCCTCCGAAGGTCAAAACTCACAAGCGCAGGGCGGAAAGTAATATGGACATATTAGTCTCTTTCGTATATTGCTCGTAGCATTTTGCAAAACACACATTCAATGGCTATGTTCCCTTTCATACTCGATATCGATTACAGAAGCGAAAACTAACGATTAATGGACAACGATTAAAAATTTTTGTCACTGAAAAGCCCCTTCAGGCTTCAGGGGTGTGTCAATAATGTCAATAATGTCAATAATCAAAAACTAAAGTGAAAACGATGTTTAAGATACTTCATAATATGGGGCCAAATTGCCTCAAAGATATATTTATTTTCAAAAATGAAATATTAAATCATAATCTTCGTGACAGTTCAACCACATTATACGGTTGCCAAAGCCACGTTCGAACAGTTTGGAAAAGAGTTTCGTGTATGACGGAGCTTTCATATGGAACTCTTTGCCAGAAATTATTAGAGAAGGCAAAACGCTATCAATTTCCGAAAGAAAAATCACTACCCACCGCTATTAAAGTATGGTTGTAAATGGTAAATTAACGTATATTCAGTAGGCCTATATTTTCACATATGCATATATCTTACTACCTTTAACTTATATTGTAAATTTATTTTTGTTCACAAGCCCATTGTGAAAAGATGCTTTAGCTGACAATGTTAGCGTGGTTAAATAAAGTTTATCATCATCCTCCTCAAGCCCGTCCATTGCGCTTTTTGCGCATAGAAGTCGTGGTTTTTGCGGTTTTTGACTTATGTATAAAGAACAACCTTAATTCAATTAGTTGTATAAACAGGGTGTATCAAAAAAGGTAATCTAAAGCCCAGAACAGACGATCAAGTTTTCCTTTGACAAACTTCTTGACGACTTTACTTGCTCGTGTGTACGACATCTCAATCAATCAATCTTTCCTTGACACATAGTTACGCGCCCGCGCTATTTAAGTACGTCAACAATTTCATAACGATCTTCGTTCAAAGCTATTATACATCCGACAAAATAAAAACAGCTGAAACAGTCAACGATGTACCACACTTCTATTCAAAAGCGAATTTGAAAACAAACGAGATTTAATGTCAATGGCCGCTCGAAGATGAGTGCGCAGTGACGCACTGCGCAATTACTTGTCAAATTTAAAACATTTCCTTGTTGAAAAGCTGGTATGATTAGCATTTGAACAAGGCTCCTTTTGAAGGGAAAAACTTTGTCATTTTTTGGCGTACATGATTTGTAAGAAATTCTTGAGGGAAATGACTCGTTGTTTAAGTGGAGTCATGCAGTTCGCTCAAACATTTCTTACAAATCCTTCAAAACTTAGAATTTACCTATGTGAAATTCCTATACTTTGATCACAGAAACTTTGATAGCGTAAACTAACCTTTATCGTGGTATTGATATACATAGATTACTTTTTCCATGCCCAGCAATCAATATTAGGCCTTTACAGTAGCTGTCAAATGATACCTTTTTGGTGTCATTGCGACCAAAAATGACCGAATACGATATCCGATTTAAAACGACCGGTCAAAATCGCGTTTTCCATCAATGGAAATTGAATACAAAACTATTGTATGAGTGTTGAAATCTTTCTTATTTTGGATACAACTTTAAGAATATAATCCAGCTTGGTAAATTTAAAGATGGTTTACCTAACTTGCAATTTAACAACAAGATTTTGTGGCTACAAGACGTTACGAAACAGGAAGTTCGCAGAGAAGCTGCAAGGCGGAATGTTTTCCACATGGAAATTTGGACAAATCGGTTCGAAAATTCGAAGAGTATAGACCACAATACCACAGACTTCAAATCGTATTTCGACAGCTAAAATAGCTCATTCATACTTCAATATTAATGCACAAATTGCCCAACTTCGTACGGTTTAACAGTTGATCTCAAAATACAATTTGGAGTTTGTCTTTTGCGGTTATAGTGGTCGACCGCAAACGTCAATCTTAACTAAAGGTTTCTAATATCTTTACGAGGTGAGAAAATGTTATTTCGACCAGCAGTGTTTAAACGTATCGTATTTAGCCATTTTTGTTCGCATTCATTGAAGAAAGGTATCATTCGACAGCTGTAAAGCTGATCTTTACCGATACTAAACGAGTAAATTGATAAACTCAACAATTACATGGGGAAGTTGGATTACATTTTTTTGATACACGCTGTACTTTCTTGGAATGAGAAATTGATCCTGACCATACAATTTAAATCATTTCGAAACTGAATTCGATTATCACTTCTCAATATCGTGACTCTTTGGCAATCATCTTACTCGATTACATTACTAAATTTCCACTTACCTTTGACAGTAACCAGTAGGCTATATTCAACAATCTCTCCTTCCACAAAGCGTACAATATTTTCAATCTGATTCACGCTTCTTCACATTCTTAGACAAACTGTGAATATAAAACACACAGGCGTGAATTATCAACAAATCCAGAATGGAATTGACTAGGCACAAATTAAGTTTTTATCCAAACAACTTTGAAGTGGAATAAGTCCCAGCGTCTTATCGTATTAAAAATGCCGCTATTTGCTTAGAATTTGGAATAGGTATAACGTGGAAAAAGCAGGATATATATATATATATAAGTGTCAAACAATGCATAAATATGACACAAAACAGTTTATTGTCTTAAAACGAAAGGACTTTGAAAACTGCTAGTATTTTTTATACAGTATCCATGTATCAATGTTGACATATTTTACTCTCGTTGCAATGCAATTACGACTTGACGTCATGCATGCATGCATTAATAATGAGGCAGTAGTGCATGAATGTTTTATTTCTGCCCTTTTTTTCACTGAAAATTACTTGCAAGAGGCAGAGATACTTATTCCTCCCACAAAGCTGATTTTCAAACACTCACATTTCATGACATTAACAAAAATTTGAGACTTTTCTATAACATCTCATTATATTGAAATGACGTCAATATGACGTCAAATTGGTTGCAATGCATCAAAGAAAATGAAATATCAATAAAAATCTATCAAAGAAGTTACTCGACAATTTTAAGAGTTTTTACGTGTAAAACAATAAACAGTTCCATGTCAAATGTACTTTACATTTTGGTGTATTTAACATAATGATCTCTTTTAAGCTGGGTTAAACTCGCTGGATATTTAAAATATAAACACTTGAAACAGGCTCCGGTATATATATAAAAGAAAACAAAGTCCTCTTTTTGGTTGCAGCATTGTGAGAGGGAGGTAGCTTTAAATATCAATGTATATATATAGACGTTTAGAATGGACTATACATGGTAATTAAATATTTTAAAGATACCTTTCAGAGAGCGCTTTCTGGAACTTTTAAGCAGAGTGAAGTTTGTTTCAAAGCTATGGTACACAATCTACAGTACAAACAAAATGAAACAAAATTGAAGTTCAGGAAAGGATTACTGATGATGTATATACCTACATAATTTTAGATCTTCTATACCAGTTATAAACTGGTTTTCAAATCCAAACATTCTTAAGATTGCTCAACAATTAAGAAATAGCACATTGTTTTTTAATCATAAAGGAATGTGAAAAAATCTAAAACGTCTTAGTTACAGTATAAATATTTCTTTGACTGTACAGGAATTTATTTTTTAACATATATGTTTGCTGAAAGACACAGTATCAAAGCACACAAAGAAGGTAAAACGCTACTAACCTTGCTATTCCAAAGAAGATATCTTTGTACGTTTACTTTAAAAAAACAGTGTCACGCTTGCCGTTAATAGATGGTATCGGTTAATATATAGATGGTACATTCAATGAAACCATTCAATGCACCATGGTGTACAATGGGACCATTCAATGCACCATGGTGTCGATTTTATCCTTGGGTGCACATTTTGCCACAAAAGCGATCACGAGCAACGAGCATCAAAAACTACGTCATTACTCTTTCATACAAGGATGAAATTTAACCGCAAATGAGGGTTTTATACCCTTGGAAAAACAGTCAAAAAACATGTTCGCGCCGTTCTGCGGTTCATAAACTACTTAGATGCAAAAAGCTTAAGCATATTGGGTTTTTCAGTCTAGAAAAATATCAGCCACACATGCATTTGCGCACGATGTTCACCCGAATTTGCCTCCTCGCCATGCGACCAGGCCTTGTCCGATATTTTTGTATAGCAAACTGCATAGTAAACTGTAAAAGTAAACGGCAAAAAGCGAAGGGGGTGAATTTAAAGAGGTTAAACCACACTATGATACACGGAAATACGGTCCATCCGCAAAGTGCAGCATATAGAACGATAACAATATGTTGTTATCGTTCTATTGTATCTTAGCCAAAAATTGTTTGCAGATGTTCAAATAGTGTAACAGTTGCAAACAATTTAAGGCACGTAAAAAATATCCCAATTAAAAAAAATTCCGTGATTTTTTTAAAAATTTTACTGAACCACATATTGACATTAATTTAATTTCCAAGAAAAATTCCGCGATTTTTTTTGTCTGTAAAAAAATATCCTATCATCAGTGTAGCAGCAGAAAAATTCCGCGATTTTTTTTAATTTTACCGAATCACACATTGACATTTAATTAATAGGATGCACAGAAGAATATGTTCAAATCACGCATCAACAATCCTATGGAATAATATTTTCGAATGTTATTACACTTATGATGTCGAAAGACTACTGAAAACAATAATTTTTATTTGAAAAAAATAAACAAAAATTCCATGCGGTACGAAAAACAGATACCATCACTTGAATCACTGAGTGATGATAAACCAGGATATATTTTTTTATACATGGCCTAAGCATTGTTTTTCGAAGAATGCTGTTGTTTTTAGCCACAGAATAAATAACTTATCGACTGAGCTTGTTTCAATATTTGTAGACTTAGTTTTTTTACGACATTTGTTTATTTAATCCTATATAAGAATACCGCACTACTTTCACTAGGAACAGACGAAAATGCAGAATAAGTAGTATATATATAACTTACAGTCAAACCGGATGTTCTCTTGCGAGCAACATTGCAATATTGCCCCACAATATTGCAATTTTGATAGGCAGATTGCTCTGAGCAAATTGCAACCGACGCGAACAAATTGCAAGTTGGAAATTCACAAAAGATTTGTAAACAAACCCTCTGATTGGATTATAAGAAAGAGGGAAGCCAATCAAATAGTCTGAGCAACTGGATTGGTGCTTCCCCCTTTCTTATAGTCCAATCAGAGACTTTGTTTACAAATCTTTTCTGAATTTCAACTTGCAATTTGTTCGCGTCGGTTGCAAATTGCTCAGAGCAACCTGCCTATCAAAATTGCAATATTGTGGAACAATATTGCAATGTTGCTCGCAAGAGAACATCCGGTTTGACTGTAAAGGACATTGGCAATAAAAAATTAGTTTAGTTCATTTGAAAGAACTCTTAAAACTATATATATTAAACTCTACTATAGATTGTTTATATCTTGCTTAGTTTTCAAAATATTTCGACTGGAAAAAGTGAGCTGTTCGCCATCTTGGATTATTGAGGATATGCATGTTACGTCAAGAGAGGGGTCACGCTAATTTTTTATCTTGAGAGTAAGCGATCAATATGGGTCCAAATTAAACTTCGTTTCTGGTTGCTGTCTGAACTTTAGAAATTGTTAAAAACATTTCAAACAATTCTGGATTGTTACTCGGTCATTTTAGAGCAGTTTTATATGGTTAACCCAACTCCTGACGTCATCAAAATCATAGTTAATGAGGTCAAGAATTTGTCCAATATGGCGGACAGCTTATTAATTTCGGTCTAAATATGTCGAGAACTAAGCTACCGTATTTTCCGATTTACAGCATCGCGTAACATAATTTACTGTTTACTGCATGAAGAAGCCATATTTCAACGGGTTATATATGCATCCATGCACGATGTTCAAATTAGTAAGGAAATAGAATAATTATGTCCGTGATTTCTGGCCATAACTATACTACAGTTGTACTGCATGTACTACAATTGAACTTAAGGATTGACAGATTAGCCCTATTCACATTAGAGACGGACAAGTCGTCTAGACGAACAAATCGTCTCTCAAAAATCGTCTTCACAGACGGACAAGTAGTCGAACAAATTCAGACGACTTGTTCGTCTAAAATTTTGTTCGACACGTTTTCACATCTGATGATTTGTTCGACTAAAAGACGATTTTGAGACGATTTGTTCGTCTAGACGACTTGTCCGTCTTCTAATGTGAAAACGGCTATTGTGCCGCAATCCGCGGAAATTACCGATTACTGATTATTCGTGTAACATTCTACCCGATACCGATTTTATAATGACGACATAAAATCAGTCGACCGAGTAATGGTAACGTCATTCATTTCGATTTTTTAATGATAATTTCCAACATAACATGTTACTGCAACCAAAGTTCGTCGCGGAAACCGTTTGCTCCATGGATTCCGGTTGAGCGCTTGTGCACGCAACGTGTATCAGCGCGAAATGCGTACAATTTTTAAAGTGCGTATTTTCTCAACACCCAAATATGGCGGACAAGGTCTGGTCGCATGGCGGGAAAAATTGGACTGCCTTTCACACGCGAGTGTGCTGTTTTCAAGCCAATCTGCTCATGTCCGTGACTAGAGAAAAAACCTCATAGGAGACTACGATCCTCCCGAAAACCCTCAAAACTTGGTTAAAACGCAAACTAAGTCATGAGTGCAGTTTTAAAGCTGAGCTGCATGTATTAAGATATTAAATATTTTTCTATATATTTCCTGCCTGACTCGATGAACTGTAAGAATGTCCTCATTATCTTGAAACCTGCATCATGCCTTTCACACCTAAAATATGAAAACCACGGCTTATTTTACACATCATATCACAGACGTCGAGTACGGTTGTATAGAATTCGAATTTTGGGTAACAACCCCTCCCACCGTGAATCGGGAAAACCACTTCTAAATACTGGTTATATTTTACCATAAGTTCCGGTTGAACTGTCCAATGTATATGTCTGTATATGGCTAATTGAAAAGTGTGCAGTATTGAAAATTTTTTAGATTTTTAGTTTCAACTTCGTGTTACGAGACAATGCTCAGGGATTTTTTATACAAGTATTTTCGTCTACAACCGTTTTTGTCGAAGAAGATCGAGTTTTACGAGGAGAGCACTCCCTCACTTCTGCCAAAACCCCTCACCCATGGAAACTTCTTGATTTTGTCTCTATATGAAATAACAGTTCCCGCATTTCAGACGGCAGTTTTGAACGAAAACATAACCGTTTTAAAACAGATATTTAATGGCGTGTTGAAGAATATATACAACGATCAAGTACTTTCGTCCTTTTACAATTAATTACTCACAGTTGCTACAATTTCTCAAAAAAATATTGTAAAAAATATTATTACGGAGAAAGATTGAGTTTAAAAACACAATTGAAGATCGAATTTTTCCTACAGTACATACCGGTAGTATAAAAGCGCTTGTATAAAATCCTGGTGCTATAGCAACATCAAGCAATGGCTTAGGCCACACAAATGCACAAACAAAGGAAAGAGGTTAGGCTTAACAAAAAAAATCCTGTGGTTTCGGTTTCCGACCCTATTTTTTTCTGAAGACCACAATGTTTTTTCGGATGTGGTCGACGTTGTTTGCTTACATAGCGACCCTGTTTTTTTCGTTGCTCGTTTTATGATACAACGTGACGCCAAAAATGGCGTCCGTTGTCAACAGTTATTGCTTCTTGAAATGTTTATGTCTGGCAGTTGCAACTGATAACACAATTCTTAACCAAACATGAAGTAACTAGATGTTGAGTTATTGAGACAACCAAATAAAAGATTTATGTACGGTGCCAATAATATGAACATTAGAATGTTAGGGTTTGTAATCCAAGTGAGAATATGTATGAGCTGTAACCATAGGTTCATGTATATATAGGTAATCGAGTGTGCGGGTTGTGATAAGGTGGACTTCAATGATTCGGATTATTGCACTTCACTTGCTGGAATTAATATTAGAATGTTAGGGTTTATAATCCAAGTGAGAATATATACATTTTAAGACCTAACCAGGAACGACTGCGAAAAATGCAGCACAAGGTCCTCTGGTAGGAATTGAACCTACCGCCCTGCGATCTAATTCTAATATTAATTCTAATATTAATTCCACCACTTCAGTGACAATTGAAGTCCAATAATATGAACAAGCTTTCGTTGGTAGGAATGAAACTACCTGAAAAATATAAGGAAACGTTCGATGTTTCGAGCGAAGGCCCTTCGTCTGGAGTTACTGGAAGGGCCTTCGCTCAAAACGTCAAAATTTTCCTCATATTTTTCAGGTAGTTGCATCCGTAGGAACGAAAGCTTGTTCTTCTATCTTTATACCTTTGAAGTTTGCCAGGCTTCCAGAAGACCCTTGGCAAACTATATGGTCTGTAAGCCGAGAAGTGAAAAAAGATTTTTTTCTGGGAACTGGAAACTTGAGTTTAGGTATCGAGTTTGTGAATGGACCATTCCCCAATTAACCAAAATTTTGATCTCAACAAGTCTAGACAAAATTCCATCATGGCATGAAACAGCATCACAAAATTAGTAATATTCCAAAGTTTCGTTGCGAAATGTTGTAAAATGCGAATAATATAGCCTTGCGAAATTTGCGATTTCCAGTCATTTTAGATTACAAACGGGAAATGGTTACCACTTTTCCAAAATTTTGATCTTAACTAGCCTAAACAAAAATTTCATCACAGCTTGAAAGAGCATCACAAAATGAGTAATATTCCAAAGTTTCGTTGCAAAATGTTATAAAATGCGGATAATATAGCCTTGCGAAATTTGTAATTTTCAGTCATTTTGTATTACAGAAGTGGTAACCATTTCCCGTTTGTAATCTAAAATTGCAAACTTCGCAAGGCTATATTATCCGCATTTTACAACATTTTGCAACGAAACTTTGGAATATTACTAATTTTGTGATGTTCTTTCAAGCTGTGATGAAATTCTTGTCTAGACTTGTTGAGTTCAAAATCTTGGTTAATTGGGGAATGGTCCATTAATTTGGTATTCAATTATTTCGTTGTTTCCTTTACGATACAACGTGAAGCCAAAAATGGCAACCGTTGTCAACAGTTATTGCTTCTTGAAATGTTTTTGTCTGATGACACAATTCTTAACCGCAAATAACTAGATGTTGAGTTATTAAGACAACCAGACAAAGGATTTGTGCACAGTGAGATACAGTTCAACATCAACAAAGGCCTTCTATTCTGTGACTTTGCCGGGCTTCCAGTCCATCATATCTTCATAGACTGTGGTCTAGCAAGGCCTTAGCTCACGAAATCGATTCAAAATATACTCACTATGAAAATTGATCTTCTCTACAATATTCTTCGACTTAATATGCTCTTGGTTACAAATGAAGACTTTGCCATCAGAACGTATACTCCAACCACGTGATGTAATCCATGCCTGCAGTTCATTGCCTAAGTAGTCAACAGTATACTTTTAGCAGGGTTTTGCATGCTCATGACCAAGCGAGTGCCGGGCACCAGAACTGGGGGCCTCGCCCCATCCCCCACCGAGACCTTTTGAAATGGGTGATTGCAGGTATAGACTAAATTTTGATCCAGGCAAGAAGAACGCAATCCAACACCACAGCTAGAAAGAGCGTCTTAGAATGAGTAAAACTGCAAAGATTGGTTGCTAAATGTTGTAAAATGAAGAAAATATAGCCCTGTGAAGTTCGCAAATTTTGTATATATTTGCATTACGTGCGGAGAAAACAACCATTTTTGAGTCAAAAATGGTTCTTTTTTCCGCGCGTAATGCAAATATATACAAAATTTGCAAACTTCACAGGGCTATATTTTCGCAACCAAAATTTGCAAATTTACTCATTTTAAGATGCTCGTTCCAGCTATGGTAATGACTATCAAAATTCCGTCTACTGTATAGCTGGAATCATCCATTCCGGAGTTCTGGGCGGCACTGCTGTCAACGCTGGGCAGAACCTTACTTTTAGATAGATAGATAATCAGAATGTATTTAAGCTACAAGCAAAATTACAGGGCTATATGAATTACTTTAATAAGTACCTTCAAGACCACCAAGTAGGTCCGACAGAAGTTGTATGTCTATACTTTGATAGGTTGTACTCAGCACACCACCAATGTCTACAGGTACGGAATGGAAGATACAGCACTGTTCAATGGTCATTGCAAGCTTTCACAAACCAAGCACAGATCATGACAGATTTTGAGGGGAGGTGTGGGGAGGTGCACACCTCCCCCGCTGAGATCGTTTTGCACCTCCCTGATAATTTTTGTAGCTCTCCTAAAAAGTCATGCACCTCCCCTTGGGGAAGTTTCAATGATAGATCAAAGCGAAAATTTGACATTTTTTTGGTTGCTTGGGGTCTACACTTCGTAAGAACGTTTTTCTGTAAAATTGAATCAACGATAGCTATTCATCTCTGTATCAAGTACCCTTTTAATGAGATGTTTTGAAAGAAATTTTGTAGTAATTGTAATGAAGGGCAAAATTGGATAAGTTGCACAGTCATAATTCATTAATACACTGATACATATGTACACTACATGCATAGGTCACGTCGTTGACATTGGCCTGTTCTAGGCCCTAACTTTCCATGGGGGTCGTGAGCTAGACCGCTGCACCTCCCCTAAATTTTTTCCCAACTTCCCCACTATTTCCACCAAACTCCGGCCTTGGCAACAATGAAAACACAAATGCTACATACACAACATTAGAGCTGCCTCGAATCCTCTCACGCCATCAATAAGTTCTGGGCATTCCTGCCGAATTTCATTCTGAAATTACATTTTCAATATCAACTTAATCCATACAGTACAAATTTAGCATAATTTCCATTTGGTATGCAATGAACGACATAACACCCTACTTTATTATTTTATTCTCTCTAACGCCAGACAATTTTACTTGTCAAGGGGAGAATACTGCCACTCAATTGGAAAAATTCAAGTGAATTACTAGCCTGCATAGCGGAATAGCATTCGTGAACAAATATTATATAATAACTACAGTGAAACACGCAATTTGATTGGCCAATAGCCGTGCAGGATCAGGCTATCCTGCACAAGAAATTAAAATGCCTTCGCGGGATTTTCGCGGGATTCTCAAAATGTCATTGTTTCACTGTAGTTATTTTATAAAACAATTACCAAATGATTTTCCAAGCAGGAGAGTGTGACCCATGCACTTGGGATGTTGCTCGACTTTCGGAAAGCGTAATAAAATACACTCGCCTGCGGCTCGAGTATTTTTACGCTTTCCGAAAGTCTCGCGACATCCCTCGTGCACGGATCACGCAATCCTGCACGGAAAACCATTCAGTATTCCTTTAAGAAGCAGCAAATCTCTAAATTCTTTCAATAGGAATATTAGTCTGATGAATTAGCTATTTGACTATTGTACCACTTGTTTTGTAATACCGTATGTATTTTGTATTCGTAGTTCTTAATATTATTAGTGATTTTCTATTTTATATATTTTTGTATCATGACATTATAAATTATCCACGCCCCACTTGGAACGCAGCTTCGGTTGAAGTGGCCAGCGTTGTCAAATAAAGTTTTATCCTTTTATCCTATCCTTTCAACTCACCCAAAAATCTTTGAAGTGACATGTCTCCATCAAGTCGGAAAGGTATAAAACTTTCTCGATAGATTTATCATGCTGAGGATGTTGCAGTTAAGAAAAGGTATTAGATGATTGGCTAGAACCTACAGAATTTACATGTGTCCACACCATGCTGTTACAGTTTACAAATTCAATGGACCATTCCCCAATTAACCAAAATTTTGATCTCAACAAGTCTAGACAAAATTCCATCATAGCATGAAAGAGCATCACAAAATTAGTAATATTCCAAAGTTTCGTTGCGAAATGTTGTAAAATGCGGATAATATAGCCTTGCGAAATTTGCAGTTTTCAGTCATTTTAGATTACAAACGGGAAATGGTTACCACTTTTCCAAAATTTTGATCTTAACTAGCCTAAACAAAAATTTCATCACAGCTTGAAAGAGCATCACAAAATTAGTAATATTCCAAAGTTTCGTTGCAAAATGTTATAAAATGCGGATAATATAGCCTTGCGAAGTTTGCAATTTTCAGTCATTTTGTATTACGCACAGAAGTGGTAACCATTTCCCGTTTGTAATCTAAAATGACTGAAAATTGCAAACTTCGCAAGGCTATATTATCCGCATTTTACAACATTTTGCAACGAAACTTTGGAATATTACTAATTTTGTGATGCTCTTTCAAACTGTGATGAAATTTTTGTCTAGACTTGTTGAGTTCAAAATTTTGATTAATTGGGGAATGGTCCATTGGTGTAAACAAATTCAATTAAATAAAAAGCATTCAAATTTACTGTTGTGAGACCTGGGATGCTACAAAAAGGTAACAAAGCCGCCAAGCGCTGTCTCCATCTTGCTCCGTTTAGAAACCGATCTGAAATTGTTTACTGCAAAAGTTTCAAACAATTTTCCTCCAGTGTATTGTAAACGTGACAGCTAATTGCGACTTTTCTGCGCGATTTTCAAACTGCCCTGGCATCACATCATTCACGTGAACATAGTCTAGGTGGGCATCTCACTTGTATATGCATAAATGTTCAATCTTAATTAAAGGATACAGCATGGTTTTCATCAATTAAGCACTTGCACAAGTAAAAGTCTGTCCGAGGAAGATTCATTAATGCTTTTAGCAATATCTGTACAACTACGTTAGTCTGATGAAGTTGTGGGTTAAACTGATATCTGGAAATAATTAGAAATGGAATAATTGAAAACAAAATTGGAAATGAATTAATTAGATTGGCCCTATTCACATTATAGATATGGACAAATCATCTAGACGAACAAATCGTCCCTCAAAAATCGTCTTCACAGACGGACAAGTAGTCAAACAAATTCAGACAACTTGTTTGTCTAACGTTTTCACATCTGATGATTTGTCCGACTAAAAGATGATTTTAAGACAATTTGTTCATCTAGACGACTTGTCTGTCGTCTAATGTGAAAACGGCTATTGATTAGAATAAATGAATATTTGAGACTTATGTTGTAAAGAATCATTTATATTTTGAAACATTAAAAAACGTATAACAGTTTACGTACAGTTTAAGAATAGATAAATTTGCATCCAAATCATATTTATTCTCAGATGTCTACAGAAAATTGAAAATTGAGACTTGTTAATAGAGAGTAGAGCTGTATGGCCAGGGGGGGGGGGGCTTAAAACAGAGAGATCTATTGGCACAACTGAGTTATTATGTGGACAGTTTTGGTCATAAGTGAACAGGCTGATCAAATTTTTTTCGAGGCAACATTTCACGAGACTTTATTTTCACAATTTTGACAGGCAAAAATAGAAAAAGGGCATTAATTAAATTTTGTTATTTATGCCGATATATTAGCTGTATATGTTGTTGTTGATCATGATTGAAATCACTTGCTATGTCAAATATCACCAGAATGATTGTTGAAATGAGTAGTCACTAAAATTTCACCTATTTTGTAAAAGGAACTAGAAGAACCAATCATTTTTGATGCAAAAACCTCACAAACAAAGCAAAAAATTTTGAAGAATGGGGGGAAATCAAAATAATGTAAAATTCTACATAGTGCAAAAAATACATGCACCAGCATGTAGGTTACAATAAACTGACATCTTACTTTCATCTGCTAATATCTAAAAAACACGTGGTTCTATTTAATTTTTCTGTCTATATAAAGTACTGTATGTGACTCAATGTATCAATTAAATTAGCTCTTTAAAAGTCTTTATTAACTATTATTATTAACTTTATTGTGTGTCAATATACCTGTAATTGTACATATGCTTCGAGTTGCGGTAAATTCTCTGGATTATACCTACATAACAACACAAAACACCTTAAATAACCCCCAATTATAAAACTTTGACCAAACTACACGTTCATGTCAAAAACTGAAACTTTACAACGAATAAAAGTACAATTTAACTATTGTTTTGTAAGCATTGTATAAATAAAACTCTCCACTATAATCTCAATATGTTATTCAAACGGTTTATACCGATTTATTCCCTGTAGAAGATGCGAAATATCTTCACGTGTGTCCTCAAATTCTTCTTCAAAGTGATCCTCCATTTTGAATAATTTCAGCCGATTCGCACGTTTGATGATAGCCGCAAAAAATAGCGAAAATTAGGGCATTGATTAGGATTAACTATTTAATACGTCGGATCGGATTTGTCAACATTTCTTACAAATCCTTCAAAACTTAGAATTTACCGATGCAAAAGTCCTAGTTAGGATTAGGATCACTCATAAAATCACAAAAACTCTAAAAAATCTAAAAAACAAACATATATAAAACACCCAATGACCCAAACAATTCAAAAGCGAAAAATAGTAATCTATTTTTACAAAATATATATCAAACAGTGTGAAAACGAATACAAAAAATCAAATATTTTGACCTTTTTTAGTTGACTGGAGTACTAGTTTAGACAATTTAATTTAGAACAGGAAAAATTACGACGTCTGATTACGACAATTTCCGAAAGCGACTTCCCTATCTTGTTCCACATCTTGCATGTGACTTTTTTAGTCATGGCGCTTTACCGGTATTCCAAAAAGCTTTTCTTTTTATTTATTCTGTTAAATATTGCGGTACTCCGTGCAGAAAACACGGAGGAGAGCATAGAAGAGCCTACAAAGGTTAGCCATACGGAAAAACCAACAGAAGCCAACGAGGTTAGCCCCGAGGAAGCCCCTCAAACCGACGAGTCTGACGGGTCTGCTGAGCATGCAAATGGTTCAATATGCGGCTATTGTTCTTATTGTAAGGTATGTATTTAAATAACGGGTAATATCGAGAGTCTACTTAGCATATATGTTGCCGAGTCGTCAATATTTTTCCATATAAAAGGATTTAGGGGAATTATAGTAAAAATGTAGACATTTCACATATTTGCGTTTCCGGCCGTCGGCCTTGAGTGGCCTTGCCGTGCGAGTTGGTACCGTCTTTGAGAGATTCTTTTACAGCATTTTGTAAATAAGTGTTTGTTATAAACCACCAGCAAAAAATTGCTGTCAGTACTTTCATTTTTGGTGGTATTAACATGCAGGCTGTATACCCAGAAAATGTAAGGCATTCAGGTAAATTATTTGTAAATATGGGATCAAGGGAAGCTGTGTTACTGTCTCCCCTTGCATGCATCCACCAATTACTTGAATGCCTTACATTTTCTGGGTATACAGCCCGTATGTCAAACAGAGGAGAGAGGTTTGCCGCTGAAAATTGAGAGGACTGATTTTTACCACCTTGCCCCAAGGCGCTATGTAACATGCCAGGGTGCATTCCATGTAAACTCTATGCCGGAGATACCCCAACATGTACGATCCTTTACGCCAATACATCGGAGATTTTCAATTTCAACATCATATTTGTGTAGTTATACTATCAATTTACATGTGGTCATGAAATCAGGCACAAACTAATCACTTGTTTTCGAGTTATCTCGCGCCATTACACCAACAATTTTGTAACCTCACGCCGGATATATCTGGCGTGGAGTGCATGGAATGCACACTGGGTAACATGTTCACATGAAATATTCTGGAGGTGTTTACAGGTACGCAGAGAACGATTGGATGTATACAAAAAAATGTGAGGCTCCATCTTGTACATTTTCTTGCAAAAGTATGATTTCTTGCAAATCGTTTTGTTTCTTGTCATTAAAGACATGTAGACTCATTTCTGGGGTCTTATTTCTAAACACGCCCTTCCTATGATGTGAGACTAGCCATCATTGAACCATTAAGTCATCCCATCAACAGTCTTGTCTAGCTCCTCTTGTGATCATTTGTGAGTCAAGTTTTTTTCTGGTTATTTTTAGTTTTGTAAATTGTGCGATAAAGATTGCCCGTGTGAAACAAGTAAATCGAAACCTAACTGTCATTTATGCAAGGTTAGTTTGTCAGGAGTTTTAACGCCCATAATATTGTATAGTAATAGCTTTATAGCTCACCTAACATGATTGATATGTAAGTGAATTGATTAAAATATTAATTTCAACTTATATTTTACATTTTAGTATTGCAAATATTGCTATTTATGTTCTGCGTTATGTGACACCGTCTGCCTCCCAGGTAAGCAAACTATGATAATTGGCATTGATTTCTCCAAGTTTGCAATGACAATAAAAAGCATTACCCCAAGTATTGAACATGCATCCATATTATGCTTAGTATAGATTATTAATCAGTCTAACTTTAATACTTTTTTTAATTCCAGGTGGTTTTGTAGACACATTTTCATCGGCAATTTGGAAGTAAGTCCAAACTAAATTAACTTTATTTATACTGGATAACCCTATCAGTTCTATAGTACCCACAGAAAAGCAGCACTTTTTGGTAGAGTAAAACTGGAAGCACTCTTCTCACGTGCATCCGAGACAAAATAATAATCACGAATTGAACCCAAAGTCACAGTTGTCAAAGACACCTGATGTCGCTGATCAGTCTAACATTTTACAATTTATCTAGTTCGCTGCCAACATTTGATAGCAAGATGAAAGAATCTGTTGACAAGGACATAGATTCAGCGAAAGAGTGGATCAAGGAATATTTGTAGCTTTGAAAAACACTGTAGCAACTTTTAATTGTGAATAGAAATCTTGTAATTACAACATATCTTGTTTAATGTGATATTTATGATTAGGAAATAAAATAAAACAAAGATTAAGCAAGCTTTTTTACCTCACTGTCTTGATCAACAAGAAATACTCAGTTCAGGAAGCCAGACTGCAGAATAACAATTTAACCAGAAGCTCCACTCTCCACATTACACTTGTTTAGCTATCTGAAAGAGTACGGCCAAACCATACAAATTTATACAACGCACTCGTTTCCAGATCGCTAAACAAGTGCAATCAGCTTTTTGATATGTTGAGAATGGGACTTCTGGTTAAATTGTTATTCTGTGGCTAGACTGTAAAGCTGGTTTTCCACTAGGAGAAATTTTGTGTGCTGAGCAGAATTTTTCTTTTTTTCCTAATTCATTTCATTTCACCCGAGAAATCACGAGATAAAGAAAAATTCTGCTCCACATGCAAAATTCCACTTGATGGAAAACTGGCTTAATAAAGACAACTTTGGATTGGAGGAAATTAATTTCCTGTGCAAAAATTCTCACAATTATGGAAATCAGCACAAAATTTCTCAAATTCAAAATTGAAAATATTGCAAATAATTTCTGAAGATTCTTCTGCACAATGACAAAGAAAAATTTATTTCATACTTAGGAGAAATCAGTCGGGGGAAACTTTCGTTTACACCCCCAATAAAATAGCGTGAACACTGCTCCTAACTGCAGGATCCTTTGGTCTGTCATAAATTGGTCTGCACAACATACGTAAAACTTTTCAGTACTTTTCAAATGAATTGCTCCACCCCTAAATATAGTGTGAAATTAATACACCAGTAGTTGGGAGAGAGAACAAGTATAATATGGCAGTGTTTTATTGCAGTATAATAACAGCTATTTACATTTGTACATTGATACAAAACATTTAAATACCATGCAACATCATTTAATTTCTACAAAACCAAACATTCACAATTCACTTGACCTTCTTTTTTGGTCTTGATTCTCTTACAATTTTAAAGTCAGAGAAGCCAAGTTTGTTTATAGATCTCTCATTGGTAAACTCACAATTTGTGATCGTCGATTTGGGGCTGCCTTCTGTTGACAACCACACTTTCCTAGAAATGTACAAATAAAAGCATTATGTAGCATATAAAAGTACTACATCAGTGGTAGATCCAGCAAGGTTTTTTAGGGGGGTGCTGGGTGAGCAGCCAAGCACACCGAGATGGCTACAAGTTTACAGGAGCTTTTGCACTATTACTAACATAAAATAAAGACTTCTTAATTATTTAACTGATAATGTACATACCATATTTATACTGTATTTTATATAAAAGGGGGGGGGGGGTCAAAAGTTTTTGGTCTTCTTGAGGGGTTATGTGAGTTTTGCTGTTGCCTGATGGGCTGAGGGGGGTCATATAGATATTGAGAGGGAGGTGTAAAATGCCACCCCCCCCCCAACCATAAATAATCAACACTCCCTAAGCATGGCGAAACCTATTTGTCAACAGCCCCTTACATTAAGTCAATATTTTGTTTTTCGCCTTGCAATTGCCCAGTAACAGTTGACACTTTTGTGTTTTTGACCCAGCCTACTAAGCCAAACTCTTTGCTCTTCCTTTCCGTCCACTGCAAAAGTACAAATACAAGAATACAATATTATATTGTTGCTATGTCAACAGATATAGTAGAAACAAGAGTTAAAATTCAATAGTTGAACACGTACTTTTCTGAAGAAAACGCCTAAAGAAACGAAATAAAATCATCGTTAGTTAAAAACCAACAACAATTCTTCACTTTATCCCACAAATTTCATCACTTAAATACCTTGAACTTTGCCAAAAACTTCGAAATCAAGTGATAGAAGTCTTCTTGAAGAAGAAGCCGCCGCCGCCATATTGGCTTGGCAATTTTTTTCTCGATAAAAATTTCCGAGATAAAAATGTCAAAGACAAGCGAAAGAAGTGAAAATGGCGTCAAAATGGCGTGGCATATCCACAGCACAGACTGTGGCACAGAATAAAGATCTTATTCTGTGTCCATAGTGACCATACATGGGCACAAATCATAGAAATACTAGACCTATTACTATGTCTATTATTTCTGTGGCACAAATACGCCATTTTCACGTCGTCTTTGACGTCCGCGTCCTCGATCTAAATCTGTCTGATATGTAACAAAGCAACGGTTTTACTAACACTGACCCTATTGCAAACGCCAAGTCTAACCCTAATCTTTGCCCTAACCCTAACCTAACCCTACTCCAAGTCTGTTTCTAAACCAATCTTGAAGAAAATATTTTTGACGAAATGTCATTCTGCGGTCAGCGAATAACTTCTTCCCGGGGGTTGGATCGGTTACCACCTGGTTACCATCAAACTGACGTAATACATCATTTGATCAATTTCTAAAGTTGATTCTTTTCGGATTTATTTTATTATATTTTGGTCAGGGTTAGAGTTGGGGTAGGGTTTGGGTTAGTTACCTAGCCATTTAACACCTCTTCCATCTTCCGAAAATGAAGTCACGTCAATTTGGTAGATGGAACAAGTGCTGACCGGATTGATCGGTCCGCTGCTGCGCTGCAACTGAGCACCATACTGTTCGCAGGCTACACCATAGGGTGAGGTGAATTTAATTAAATAGACCTTTAATAAAAAGTCCCAAGCTAAAGCCCTATTATAGGTATTGGGATAAAAAAAGAAAGAACTAAATATGGGATATGCAGTCCTACCCCCTCCCGCCTTTTAGGGCCTCCAAATTGCAGTTTCATCGTTGCTTATCAGTTATAAGTTAAAATACATTGTCACTCGTTAAAACTCATTCAGCGCCTAATTTGAATGCTTGGTAAGTGGCAAATGAACTTCAATTGAACTTGAATTTGAACTTGAGTTTGAATTTCAAGTTCAATCTCAACTGGGGGTTGTTTTGTATTTTGTAAAAATACTCAGTGATTCCCGTAATTCTTTCTCAAAATCTTTTATACTAAGACCCCATTTACACGGTACCGGACGAATTTGGGACCGGGCTGAAATTCGTCCCTTTCGGCCATGTAAATACACGAGAACCACGGAACCGGACGAATTTGAAACCCCCTAACAGGACGAATTTGCGTGTAAACAGGCGAAAAAGGGCGAATTTCAAACTGGTCCCAAATTCGTCCGGTACCGTGTAAATGGGGTCTAAGTGAAAACTACACCAAAACAGTAAACCCGATCGGGCAACATACCATTATCATCAGCTGTATACCCTTCTTTATATTCAACTTTAATTTTTTTCTTATCATATCATTACAATATATTATTATTAATCTGATACATTATTATTATACTGATTGTCGTAATAAATTTTTGAATTAGTCAATTAATCATGCGTGTCCGCGTGTATAAGATTAAGGATCTTAATTAATCAAAAAAAGACAATGACATCAAACAGTGTACCATTGTTTTCTCAGAATGAGGGTATAACAATAGCTCTTTGTATATGTAAGTCTGAAAAAATTAGTCTTAAAGCTATAAACTAGCATGAAACCAGTTTCTTCTTTTGGGGGAACAGCAATTTATAATAGCTTAAGAGGGTCCCGGTCTTCTTCCCGCAGGAGAAGTTTTGTTTTTACTTCATTTGCGCGTTGAAAAAGGCTAGACGCGCTGCTATCCGTGAGCAGAAAATCACACAATCGTACTCCAACTGTCGATGTCTGCTTTACCGGTGATTCTTCTTCAACAGATATCGTCATGGCCGCGCCCATTGTGTTGTAAACACCGTCTGAGATGCATCCCACTCTAGCGTACTCGAAATCAATGAAATCCTTCCCCTTGCCTTCGCCACTGGTAAACACAAAGAATTGCCCCGAAATCGGTTCGCCGTCTTTGTGGTGGGCAGACGGTTTCCATTGCATTAATTTGGCGGTTTGGCCACAAGCAAGCTGAACCGCGCTCTGGTATGCGCTCACAGCCCACATCTTTCTGTAAGCCACTGATAGTGAATATGACATTCGACAATTCATTTCTATCAAAGTCAACTCGTCTCCCTGTTGCCAAAACTCCAAGTCGAAGAATGTGCTGGCGACACCAAAACGATGAGCCATCTCTTCTGTATACTGGACTAGCTTCTTGTATGTATCCCCGTCGACGGCGCCTGAGATGAACTGTGGAATAATCCAGTGAAGAACCCGCCCTGCCTTTTCTCGAGAAATTTCACAAAAGCCAGCAGTGCACAGTTTAAAGTTGCCATTGTTATCCATCCAGCCTTCGAAGCAGTATTGGTCGCAAGATTCCACAAGCTCTTCCACCGCTGCGATATTCTCAACCGCCAGCGGAAACTTTTCGAGATCGAGGTACCGTCGAAAAAACTCGCAGTATCCCGTGAAAAAAGGCGCTACCAACCGCTCGAGGTTAACCAGGGCAACCTCCATTTCTGCCTCATTCGTGACACAACAATGTCCCATGCTTGCACACAGGAAGGGTGCCTTCAGAAAGCAAGGATAACGGACTTTGCCTTTCCACTCTTCAGACGGTTTATCCATGTGGATGTAATCAAACCAAAGGTTTCCATTTTCCGTCTTTCTCGAGTAGTACTTGTGAAGACAACGGAATGTGGACTCCAAAGAAGGACCTGGCAAACCAGTCTGTTCACAGACCACCGATGCTACAACAGACGCCATATCGTGGCTAAATATGATGGCTGTTATTCCGTTCTTTTTCACATAACTAACAGCTCTCTCAACGTAGGATAGCAAAAAATCAGGCTGTGCTAAGTAACTGCCGTAAGCGAACGCTGTCATTTCTGTGTCAATAGTACCTTCTGAAGCGTATAAAAAGTGAACTTCGTGCTCACTCGCATCAAGGTTAGCTGCTTCAGCATGATCAAACGTGATAGGAAGAAGATTTAGGATTTTGTGCATTGTGAAACTCTTCTAGTGCAATCTCTGACTGTTCACTCTCAAACCAGACTGTTAATGAGGCCGCGTTGCACAATGATTAGATTTTAGGCTGCTGTGAAATGTTGGATGCCCTGCAGAGTGATAATTAAACAAGAGGCTCCATGGAGTTGTGGGACTATGGGAATATAGGATTTTTTTTTCGAGAATATTGTTCTTGAAGTTTGCAGTTTGCCTGGCAGTTTGGGCTAATAGTTAAAATAAGTTTTTTATTTGCGCGACAATAATGAACATAGTACCGTCGCTTGCAACTAAGGATGAACGGTCGCAGATAAAAACATTGCCTACTCGCGTGAGAATCTTCAATGTTTGTCAAGATCACTTGACAGGTTAACTGTGTTTTAATCTAATCAGCCAATCACGTTTAATTAACCAGCTCAAACTGATTGACTGAGCTAATTGAAACCATTAATCATCACAAACATTGAAGTTTCTCGGTAAAAACATTGTACTTTGTCATGAGAATAAACAATGCGACCGTTCATTATCAGGCCCTGTTCACATGAACCCGGGACAGCGTTATGTCTCGGGCAAGCAATTGTCGTGGGATACAAATTTCTCGGCTGTTAATAAAAGAATAGTCATGCAGTTCACATTATATTTTACTTGTCCCGGGGCAAGAAATGATACGGGTAACAGCCGGGACAACTTTACCTCATGTTATGATTCATTTCATTCATTCATTATAGCCACTCCATGCTATGAACGGTTTGTTACAGACTGGTTACTTAAGTCAATTGGTGCAAAGATTGATACGCGGCAGTTTGGCTCCGTTAAAAATTCCTCGGCTACTCATGCCCTACTGAGCCTGACCCATCACATCCTGAGTGCTACAGATGCTTCAAGCAATGCGGTGAGAGTATTCTTGCTTGATTTTGAAAAAGCTTTTGATCGAATAGATCACAACATACTGGTGAATAAGCTACAACAAATGAGTGTTTCCCAAACCATTATAAATTGGATTAGAAGTTTTCTCTCTGATCGTAAACAACGAGTCAAGTTGGCTAACTGTCATTCGGACTGGCAAACGTTAAACGGTGGAATGCCGCAAGGGTCGGTGTTAGGGCCGGCTTTGTTCCTTGTTATGATAAATGATCTTCTTATTGATTGGAGCGAAAGATGGAAGTATGTTGATGACAGTACGTTTGCTGAACGAGTTACATCAACTGAGAGTAGTGAACTACAAGATCTAGTGAATGTTATCTATAATTGGTGTGAAGTTAATAATATGAAGCTCAACATCGGCAAATGTAAGGAAATGGTAATTGACTTTGCAAGAGAAAAACATGAGTTCTTACCGTTAACTATAAATAACGTTGGTATTGAACGGGTAAAATCTGCCCGAATTCTTGGTCTTTCAATTCAAGATGATTTGAAATGGAACGAGCATGTGAACCATATTGTTAAAAAAGCGGGAAAACGCCTTTATATGCTAAGGTTGTTAAAACGATCAAATGCCGACAATAGCATTCTAATTTTGGTATACTGCACCATTATCAGACCAGTACTCGAATATGCCTGCCAAGTTTGGCACTTCAATATTACAGAATACCTAAGTGAAGATATCGGCGAAAAACTCCAGAAGCGGGCTCTGCGTATTGTCTTGCCATTCGCTACTTACAGAGAAGCTTGCAGTATTACTGGTATACCCTTACTGAAAGATCGTCGGCGATTATTATGCGAACGTTTTTTTGTTAAAAATGCACATGGAGACAAATTGGGTGACCTCTTACCGCCTAAACTTGATCATAACTATAATACACGTTATGGAAGCGATTATAATAACTATAGTTGTAAAACGGACAGATTTATGAAATCGTTTTTTCCACAGATGGTTTCACATATGAATAGACCATAATTTTAATATTTTTAAATTTGATCTCTATAACTTTTTCAACTGAAGTTATGAATAATTTTATGCATTTAGATATTTATATTGTAGTATAATGAGACTTTTTACCGATGTAATTTAACCTACAGGTTACAAATCGGTATTTTATTAAATTATTATTATTATGATTCCTGATGTATTGAAGCATGCTACGATAGAATTCCACAGCAGAATTTGTTTACCCATAAGGAATTCAAGGGTCAAAAATTACCTTACCCCTGAAGAACTCCAAGATCCTTGACAGGGGGTTACGGATATTAAATGGAATAACCAAGTGAAACTTCGACGTTTCGAGCGAAGGCGCCCGGGGCACTAGCCAAACTACCTACCAGCACCTCTCTCCTCCGCAGAGGCTTTAGTTTTCTTAGGATTTAATATTACGATGAGATACATTTCACTACACTTTACATGGCGGATCTTACACGAGCGTAGCCGCTGGGCGAAGGAGCGCAGGTACCAGCACACAGATCGTTGCAATTTAAATTGGGCTGATACTGATCGTGTCTGTGCAATAGTGCGTTTGTTTTGTCGAAAATCATGATTTTCCAAGCTTACCTTTTGCCTCAACTAAAACCTAAGTCACCAAACATTATGGACGTTACATGATATATTTAGGTTGTGTTATGTTATGTTATGTTATGTTATGTTATGTTATGTTATGTTATGTTATGTTATGAAATGCATTTGCCATTCATGCTACATTATATGTGAGGACTACGTCTATACTTTCATTTGATATGTGCTTGCGATCTGCGAATACAAAGTATTCGTGGAGTAGACTTGGATCCAGCGGCGGCGGAACAGATTTCATTCTGGGGGGCTAAATTTTTTTTTCGTGACCTCCCCCCCCCCCGTCGCCAAAAAAATTTCGGTCAGTGTACCATTTTAGGGGTACAAAAATTTTTCCGGACATATACAAGAAAAGGGATGAAAAAAATTTTTCCGGACCTATAACAAAAAATTTTTCCGGACATACTCGATTTTTACACAAAATATCCCAAATTTTTCCCCTTATACCTAAATTTTCCAAAAATAACCTACATTTTTCCTTAATTATCAAAATTTTTCCAGAGAAAACAAAATTTTCTGGGGGGGGCTAAGCCCCCCCCCACTTTTACTTCTGGGGAGCTTTAGCCCCCCTAGCCCCCCTGTTCCGCCGCCACTGCCTCCCATCACCTATTCTTGATGTGCATGTGATGCCACAACAATTAAAAATAAAAGCGACACAGCTGGTTTGAACATATGCCTCATACATAGTTACTATTTCATCAAAAATGAAAAATGTTGGGTAAATACAATTATTGCTGACGTCAGCAAAGCTGTTAAAATTATGTTAAATATAAAATAGAATTAACAACTTTTAAGTTAAAATATTAAAATACAGTACGACTTATAATTTATAAAAATGACTATTCGCGTCAATTCTCCTTCCGTCAATTTGTCAATGTGTCCAATTGCCCTATGCACTACCCTGTTTCCCAGAGGTTCTCGTATCTTTCGCCTTATTCCCACTCGTATTTATTTTACGCGAGGCGAAGAATAAATATCTTCGCCTTGCGTAAAATAAATACGAGCGGGAATAAGGCGAAAGATACAAGAACCTCTGGCAACCAGGGTACCTATATACACTGTCCTATATAGCCTAAGACAATTTTAGGTATAAACAAAGTTGACTTCTGCTGAAATCAGCAATAATATTTTTCAAAACGGTAATATAAATACTCGTAGTACACTAGTATGTATCAACGAAACATGTAATAAACCCAGGCTGTGTAGCTTTTATTTTAGAATGTTGCGACTTTTTCGATACACACCCATACCAGACGAAGTCTGAACATGAAGAAGTTTGAAAAGAGACTGGTTCAAAATTCAAATTTCCAACTCAATTATTGTATTACGTAAGCCTCAAATCTCCCACCTAACCAGAAGCTATTATGTAAAAAGACTCTCAGTCGAAAAGACCCATGTCATTGTGAAGCTGATCGCTATACAATAACACCACATAAATAATATATACTGTACAGGTACGTTTCACTTACGTCCACCGCACAGTTTGGTATCAAACAGTTCACAATTGAAGTTACTACATTGACAGAATTGCCCATAGTATTTCTCCGTTTTATCCTACAACAAGATCACAAGAATGATATTACATAAATTACTGATTGAGAAGTATAGTTGGCAGATGAGGTTAGCGCGCTGCTCTTGACTACTGAGTTATTTTAGTCTACTACAGCAGTTCCAGGGATTCTGGGATTCTGCGCTGGTTGCAAGGTTGACTATATTACGCTGCACAGTGCAGAGAACGCGGCTGCAATAACTACATCACTCTATCACTTTTCATGTGTGTAAAAGGCTTTGCAATAAAAGTACCGTGGAGCCTCCAATCCCTTGTATGTATGAAGGTATTTATTGTACAGAATGTTCGTAAAGAAAGGTTCCACTGTAACTTACCGGAATTAAATTACACTGGCACACACCGCAATCGCATTCACCATTCCCACTACAAGTGAGGGCGCCAGTTTCATTCGAATTTTTGCATTTATCTGAGTTGATATTTGAAAATCGTTGAGCATCGCATTGACAAAATTCGCCAGACCTACGGAGAGAAACACACTCTAAAACACTGTGGTTGAAACTTTTGTCTAGTAAAAGTAAAAGTAAAATTACTAATTTTATTGGATAAGGCTGCAGAATGAGCACGATATCGAGGGTCATACACGGTAAATTCAATAGAATCAAAACGACCTAAAAGTCTAAAATATGACCCTCAGAAACAGCCTTTTGACTCTTTTGAATTTACAGTGCATACAGATCGAAGTCATTGTTATTTGCCAAAGGGATCTGAGGTGTATCATATTGATCCAGATCTGAATAACTTTTCATATCATGCGTAACCTGAATCCAATAATTGTTCGATTAATTATTGAAAAGAACAGACAAGAAATCCGAGACTGGCAACCTGTGGGAAATAGGCAAAAAGAACATTCAAAGAGAAATAATAAATACTCATCGAAGACGTTTTGCATTGTTTCGTGGCTTTTTCCTAGCTGCCAACCACGCTGGGGCTTGGGATCCACAGCGTGCATTATTTTTGTGATAATATTTTTATTATATTATTTTTATTAGATATTTTATTATATATTCAAAGTCTATTCTCGTTAGTGATTGGTTAAAACGCGTCGGATAATTCTTGAAGCCGTCGCGTTATTTCAGCTGGTGACCGAAGTTCGGTGGTTACCAAGCCCCGGCGCGGTCCATTGTTTGCTAAAAAGCGCGCGAAAATTCCATGTTTTTAAAAGCGTTAACAAAATTACTTTGCTTTCTTTCTAGCTTTTGAATATATAACAAGACGCCTGTTCAGGCGCTCACACTGGTCTGAAAATGACGACATACGTGCTATGGTGTAATGAACAAGGAATGAAAGGCTGATCGATACATGAGTGGGTGGGAGAAGCAAAATTATTAGTTTAGCAAAGTTATGCTGACGAAATGTTTTCGTAATGTCCAATGAAACACAAGTATTACTCACAAATACAAACCGGCGTTATCCATAAATGCACATGGTCTCTGAGCATGCGACACACTAACGCAGACAACATTGTTTACATTCAGTAAGTCCGTATTACGCAGGGGTGGATCTATAGGGGGGTGCACAGGGGTGCGCACGCCTGTTGGCCTTGGTCAACAGGGGTGCAAGGGGCTGCAAAAAAATCAAATTCAGAAATATGGCACAATTTCCAAGGTTTTTCCTTTTTTGAAGTCATACATCCCCCTACGGAGCTTGCGCCTTCGGCGCTCAAGTCGTTAGGAAGCCAATTCATTTGAATGCTTTCCCACCACCCCCTAAAGAATTATAAAGAAACACTCGGCTGCTCACCCAGCACACACACCCCCTAGAAAGACCTTGCTGGATCCACCCCTGGTATTACGTATAAAATTCGATAATATTCCATCTCGAAATCCAGGAAACTCAGCGATCCAGACATCGCATTTCCAGAGACGTTGCACGAAAAAAAACACCAAGTCAACTTCCAAGAAAGTGCAGAGTAGGATAAATACAAAATCCACAGAAAAACGCAGTAAAATTCGTTGTCAAATCAGAGAAATTGTGTGAGACTGAAATAGTCACATTCATTGAATGGCCGCCATCTTGAAAACTGATCTGTATAGTAAACTGGAACACTGGAAACTGAGCCTGCGATGCGCTAACGCAAACTCGATTTCTCGTCGACGACGAAAAAACCCAGAAAAAACACCAGAAAATTAGGGATTTAAGACACTTGCATGGCCTCAGCCTTCGGCTTTGGTGGATAAAACCTCGGTCTTGATAATTCTCGATATCATACTCAACCTCATTCAATAATTAGGAAATAGAAAACATTTTCCGTGTTTCTATAAAGTTATAGAAACACAAGTGGAAGTTTGGGAGAAACGAGTAATTGCGCGGGAACACGAGCACGAAGTGCGAGTGTTTCCACGCAATTTCAAGTTTCTCCCAAACTTCCACAACAGGCACAAGTGTTTCTTTTTCTATTTCCTTTATTAAATAGCCTTTTAAAAACAATAAAAAAAGATAAATTTATTGATTTTAATTACATTCATATGTTCGTGTAAATGAATAAATTTAATTATTTTTTTATTATTATTATTCATGTTTAAGAATATTCACCATCGCATAAATTTGAATTGCGGTGAATTTACAACTAAGTATTTAATTACTATATTAACAATAATAAGGATTACAGAGTTAAAATATATTAAAAATTTACTTTGTACTTATATAAAATCTGTATTTAAATGTTGCTACTGTCATTAAAAATAGCCACAGTGCTCGGAAAGAAGCTGCGGCGGTACCGTTCTGTTCTGCAATTGATCGTAGTTAATGCATTAGAATTTCTTAGGTTGTAATCGTAACAGGTGTCTCTCGGTGCAGGAATGTGACCAAATAAAGGACTTCCTTGTGGTATATTTTTCAAGGTTTTAAGACAAAGTTTTTCTCGTCTCTCGTCTAGCCGGGCGCATTTCAGAAATGTTAGGGCTTCACTATAGGTGTATTCTGGTAATGTAATTCTAAGTGCGCGTTTCTGGACTCGTTCTAACTGGTTAGCAAGATACGAAGGTAAAGTATTATGCCAAACAACACAACAATAGTACAATACTCTAGCACTGAGCGTAATATGATCGCGAAATAGATCTCAAGTAAATCTTCAGCAGGGACGCCACTTCGGCGTAAAGTGCGAATAATGTACAACCGTTTAGATGCTTTGGAAACGACTGAGTCAATGTGTTCGTTCAATTTTAGATTGTTCTGAATAATAAGACCAAGAACTTTGTGAGACTGAACGGTTTCAAGTGCTTGTTCATCTATCAATAATGGCAATAGTTCAGGTTTATCTTTCTGGAAACAAATGCGTAATTCTTTACATTTTTTAACGTTAAGTTTCATATAGTTATGTAGGGACCAAGAACAGATTGAGTCAAGATTAGATTGCACATTAGAATTGCTGGTCTTTGCCAGTCCCTCCGAGGTTATACATCGTCAACATATTTCCAAATATCTGTTCCGCTGGATCTGGGATTGAGATTATTTATCATTACCAAAAACAAAATTGGACCAAGCTTTGTCCCCTGTGGGACGCCAGCTTTCATTGGTAACCAATCCAAGATTATATCTCCTAATTTAAATCTGTGAAAGAAAGTTAATTATCCATGGTACCAAGGATCGTCGAACACTTAGATCCAATAGTTTGGATATTACCATATTATGACCAATACGGTCAAAAGCCTTTGCAAAATCGAGGAAACATATCCGTAGGTGTCTTCCGTGACCATCTAAGAAGGACAACCAAGTTTGAATCATGTCCAAAAGACAGTAAGTCGTCGATGTTCCCTTCAGACATCCAAATTGTCTTGGGTCAATTCTGTCTTCCATATCGCGGTTATCATCCAGGAGACTACAAAGTCTTCTAGGACTTTACATAGACAAGATGTCAGTGAAATAGGTCTTGGCTCTTCTTCGCAAGTAGGCTGTTGTTTCTTAGGGATAGGGATAATATCTGAATCCTTCCAGATTTTAGGGGCAGATCCAGATGCGAGTGATGCGTTAAAAGTAATTGTAACAGGCTCGGAAAGTTCGTAAGCGAAATCAAGGGTAAGATTCGGCAAGGAATATTGTCCGGGCCGCTGGACTTGAAAGGTTTGATTGTTGATAACTTCTTACATACTTGATACGGTTCAAGCCTCGGGGCAGGTTCGGTGGCTGGGAGGAAGGGGGAAGTTTTGTTACGTCGAGTGTTGGAATGTCATTATTTATACTGATGCGTAAAACTCGTTTAGGCTGTTGGCTAATTCGGACTGATCTAGGATTATCCCATCACGCTCGAAATTGAAACAATTGTTTTTCATAATATTGATATGTTCGTGTAAAAAATAAAAAGCATAGCCAAGTAAACAAGTATATCGCTGTCAAAACAACAGACAACACTTAACTGGCTTACTTTACTATAAAGTATATAATTCACTCAACAACGTACATGCTCGCAAGAAAGCACTGTTTTAAATAGTTAGGTAGTAAACGTTTAAACATGATTAAAAACGATTAAAAACGATAATAAACATGATTAAAAAGGTCGCCAGGAAATATTTTTTAAAAAGACAAAGTAAAATTAAAATAACTTACCTTGGTAAACAGCCAAACAGATACAACGTATGCTGTATTCTACTTTGTGCTTTAGGTCTTCGCTTTCTATAAGTTATCAAAGCGTTGCAAGCCTTTTTTGTGACGATTCTTTCTCGCGCAATCCACGCAACCCGCGTGAAAATTCCCCGTGTTTCTATCGAATTATAGAAACACGGTTTTTTTTAGCTTTTGACCAATCAGCGCCCGTGTTTTTAAAAGGAATTTTATAATTGTTTATTATTGCACCCCGATTACATCACCAGCTGCAATACATGACAATGTACTACCGGATACTGACAATCAATCGGAGATGTTGACCAATCAGGAATGAGAATACAAATTTAATAGACAAGTAATATTATTTAATACTAACCAGCCTTCATCACACTCACAGTTACCACACACCAGGCTTCCATTGCCATTACATCTAGGACTGTCAGGGATCTGAAAATGACAGAGTCAACGTTTATACGTGCATTGCATAACAATTACATTACCACAATATATCAAAATAAGTCATCAAAACTAGACGTGTGGCGTTTTATATATATATATATATATATATATATATATATATATATATATATATATATATATATATATATATATATATATATATATATATATATATATAGATATATAGATATATATAGATATATATAGATATATATAGATATATATAGATATATATAGATATATATAGATATAGATAGATATAGATAGATAGATAGATAGATAGATAGATAGATAGATAGATAGATAGATAGAGAGATAGAGAGAGATAGAGAGAGATAGAGAGAGATAGAGAGAGATAGAGAGAGAGAGAGATAGAGAGAGATAGAGAGAGATAGAGAGAGATAGAGAGAGATAGAGAGAGATAGAGAGAGATAGATAGAGATAGATAGAAGATAGATAGATAGATAGAGAGATAGAGAGATAGAGAGAGATAGAGAGAGATAGATAGAGATAGATAGAGATAGATAGAGATAGATAGAGATAGATAGAGATAGATAGAGATAGATAGAGATAGATATAGATAGATATAGATAGATATATAGATAGATATATAGATAGATATATAGATAGATAGTATAGATATAGATATAGATATAGATATAGATAGATATAGATATAGATATAGATAGATATAGATATAGATATAGAGATAGATATAGATAGATATATAGATAGATATAGAGATAGATATAGATAGATATAGATATAGATATAGATAGATATAGATAGATATAGATAGATATAGATAGATATAGATAGATATAGATAGATATAGATAGATATAGATAGATAGATACATAGATAGATAGATAGATAGATAGATAGATAGATAGATATAGATAGATATAGATAGATAGATATAGATAGATAGAGATAGAGAGAGAGAGAGAGAGATAGAGAGAGATAGAGAGAGATAGAGAGAGATAGAGAGAGATAGAGAGAGATAGAGAGAGATAGAGATAGATAGAGATAG